ATATCCTCTCTATAGCCTAAATCAAAAAATGATGTGTAACAATGAATTTGGGAACATCAGAGAAGTATTTATCGATGAGGCTATAAATATAGCAAAAAAATGAAGCAAGGACTTAAATATCTTGATCACTTAGTAAACAACAAGCTCCCCTAAAGAAAAAGATATTAGTTGGCTGAGTGTCTATATGAAAAGTTCTTAGACATCTGTTTAAGTTTCCACACAGTTAGCTAATATGGCTTGAGCCCCAAAATACTGACAGGAAGAAGCAGGTTCTTTGTATTTTTTATGTGGAATAGACAGAGTTAAAATAATAATAAGATTTTTCTAAAACTTGTTTATTTGTAATAAGAGCAATAAAACATGTAGGAAAGTTCCATCCTGAATCAATGTCTTATTTAAGAAAGTGCACTTTTTAAAATACAAATTTTAAAGTGCTGGAAGGGAGATAGCTTAAAGCAGTCAGTCAGTAGACATTCTCCCGCAGTGATAACACAACCTGACTTAGCCCTATTTAGACTTTGAATAGGTGAACATGAAAGAAAGCTTCAAATTACAGGATGAGTTCATGGAACACTCTCTCAATCTCCTGTTGCACCTTTTCATCCTCCTCAACTCTCTTCCGGAGGAAAGCTGCCATTTCCAATAAGCCAGCTGCTTTCTGCTTTACCTAAAGAAACCGAGTCAGAAACATGTCAGGACACATGGAGCTTCAATTTTAGAGAACATATATCTTTTAATTTTTTAAATGTAAAAATCTTAATAGGTCTATCTTTCGAAGAAAGTAATAAAAATTTAAATTTATTTTACATGGGATATTCCATGAACAATTTGAAAAGCACAAATTTGCTTCTTGGTAAAAATCAAGTATGCAAGCAACTATAAATTCTCTTATATCTTATTTTTAAAATATGTTCTCATCGCTTTAAGTGAAATTATAGAACTACAGGTACTTTAACAAAAATATGCCAGCCAGATGTATGTGGGCATTAAATTTAGGGAATTTAGGGGAGTGGTCAAGAAGCAACAAGAGGAAGGATTCTCTTCCCAAATAAACACACTCTCAAATTTTTACCCGTTGCTACCTTCTAGCAAAATTATAAAGTTGGTTCTGCTGAGCTAAATATAATTCTAATCTATGCAAAATGAGATAACCTACAACAGTGCTGTCCAAGAAAAATATAATATGAGCCATAAATGTGAGTTACATGTAATTTTAAATTTTACAGTAGCCACATTATAAAAAGTGAAATGAAAGAGATGAACTTAATTTTACTAATATATTTTATTTAATTCAATATACCCAGAGTATTATCACTTCAACCTATAATCAATATAAAAATATTAACCAGATGTATTTCTTTTTGTTCATATTAAGCCTTCTAAATCTGTGTATGTTTTCCACTTACAGCACATCTCAATTATGACTGGCAATATTTATTTCAAGTGCATAATAACCACGTGCAGCTAACGGCCACTATTTTGAACAGTGCCAGTCTAAAAGCAACAGGCCTACACTTAGCCTTCAATAGCACCAGGGTTAATACAGTATTTCATTATGTTCTTATTACTATGACCAAATACTACCCTAGCAGGGAAACCTAAATAATGAAGTTTTGTGGTTACACTGACCAATGTAAACTATGAATTTGATATTAGTATACTAAAAATTAAATTAAAATAGTATATACTTTCTGTTCATTTTCCAGTTTTGCTCGTCTTGTCATGCAGAAATGATTCCAGACCAAAGGGTCCAAGCCTTCTGGCATGTTACTAATATTGTCCAACTCATCCATGGCTTTCATTAACTGGGCAAAGGCATCCTTATTCAACTTGCCAGATCCTGGTCGTTCTCCGAAAGGGACAACACGAGTTGTATCTGAGTGCATTTTCTGTTTGGGAATCCTGGTATTACCAAGAAAAGCCCATCAATATTTCACATTCTCACAAAAATATCAATTTTAAACAATTAGGCCCTTAGCACAGGCATAACATATTGTATGGCTCTTTCCTTTGGCATTTGAGGGCTGGTAGGTGAGTTATTCCCCAGATAAAGGCACCCACCTTGCCCTTCCTTCCATACTCTCCAGATTCTCAGATGTGACCCTGGCTATAGATGTCTCCAACTGTTGTCAGCACTGACAGCCAGCCATACCTGTGCTAGGACACGTTTCCTTTCTGTGTACTATAAGCAGGTAAATAAATCAAGCGACTGTCTCGCTTTGGCTTCCCAAAGTGTTGGGATGACAGTGGTGAGCCACTGCCTGGCCAACTCTCTTTTTATCTACATTAATAGATTAGTTTTGTTTCCCTGTGCTTCAGCTGGGAAGGGAAGAAGGGTACAAAGATTTGTGCGAGGCACTATCAAGATGCTTTACAATACACTGTGAGGTTGAAACTATATTATCATCCCCATTCTCTAGAGGAGGAAAGTCAGCCTCTAAACGAAGCTCATGGTCCAAGGCTATAGGTCTGATAGGTGTGGAGTTAGAATTTAAAGTTAATTCTGTTTGACAAGAAAGCTTGTGCTTTTCCCCCTGCTGCAGGGGGTCTCACTTCTTTTTTCACAAGGGAAAGGTATGTAATTGGGCTAATTATTGCTTACTTTTTTAAAAATAGGAAAACCAAGACAAGAGGCATATTCTAGGTTAAATTCCCTAGGTTGCCTGTAACCTGTCAGAGTTTGTATCTCAAACACAAATTAGCCTACATCTTTGTGACAAACTCCATGATTTCTAAATTACATTTGATTGAAAACTATGAAAATCTGCATTTATAATGGTGGAAATCAGTGAGTGCTACTTTCTTAGAACTCTTTTCAAATGGTTATTTTCAACCATTTATACTGGCATCTTTCAAACTTTGAGCACAAGCACATGAGATACTCTGAGGAAAAGCAATTTATAGCGAAATAAGTTTGGAAAACACTGCTTACTCTGTTTCTTTTACTTAGAGATCCAAAGACCAATAACAAATTCTGCGGTAAAAAAAAAAAAGCTGCTCAACTTCCTTTTTTTAACCCAGTATTTTCCCCAAACTTATTTAGTCCTGGAAGCCTATTACAAGTAGTTCTGATTTATACATAAAGAAACCTGTGTCTGTTCAAACACACCTTGGAAAAAAGTTTTTAAATTTGTGTGGCATCTATGACATAAGAGGGACTTTCTTAATGTATAAAGCAGAACCTAGAATAGCACCATGCTCACATAGATCCTTAACTATTTTTAAATAATGAAAACAAATTATTATTCTCTACCTTAAAATATAGACATACTCTCAAAAAAATACTGAATTATGATCAAAATCCTTAAACATCTCCACCTAAAAGATATTATATTGAATAATTCCATTTTTGGGAGAAAAAAGCTGAAATCTAGTAACACTCTTCTTTTTTTTTTTTTTTTTTTTTT